TCTGCTACAGATTTTTTATAATGATACAAAGAAAACTCAGCTTTTTCTTCGTCATTAGGGACTTGAATACCTTCCTTTTCATAAACATACTGAAGAATCAAACTCCAATATTGAGCACAAGAAACCCCATCAATAGCATTCATATTTCCAATGAATTTCAGAAACTCCTCCCATATCTGTGTAGCATAATCCACTTGCAAATTATAATAAATGCCAGCTACCATAGCATACACCTCCAATCTTGCTTTATGTAAACCCACGCTTCGACCTATCAAGCATCAAAGATAAATTCCAAACAGGAAGTTCCTGATACAAGGAAACACTGACTTCTTGAACTCACTAATCTTGGTGGGAGTAGGTTGATAACCTATCTCATTAAACACGTGAATCACCTGCTCATTGGTTACCTTGTAGAAAGGTTCATAATTGGGAATGTTAAGAATTTGACCAAAGAGTTTCTTCGACAAATGGAACTTCTTATCATTCACTAGGTGAAAAGTGAAAATCTTCATCGTCTTGCTGTAAGTAGCCATTGAAACAACAAGAGATAACCATGAAAGTGGAACTCCAAACGAGTTGAACATAGCAGTCGACAACACGAAGTGTTGAAGAGCCATGATCAACATCTTCAAATCTTCTGTGTAAACAGAAACATCTCCCTAAACCTGGTAATTTGTGCTTTGAATTTTTTTGATCGGTTGGTAAGAAACATCTACAGTGGTTTGCAAATCATGAGCAACCATTGTTCGGGTTTGTGAAAGAACTTGAAGAATAGTAAGAAAAAGATCACAAATCGTATGAGAATCTTATTGTGAGCATAAAATTGGAATGAAATCCCCAATTCCCTTTTTATATGTATATGTAATTTGAATTCCAAACGGTCGTCATTAATAGCTTGCCATGTTTTTCCTTGAAAATCATACAAATTGCTGTAAAGCATGCCATGTCAGGAAAAGTGATGAGTACTTTTTCCTAGAAAATCACAAAGTAACCAAACCGTCACATCATTTGTCTTTTCGAAAGTACCCAGTGGATAAGGACCAAAAACCTTCGACATGGAGGTTGGGCTCTTTCACTTTTGGGTTTAAAAGCGAAGTCATGTGCCGCACTTGTGAAATCTTCAGCCTGAGTTGGTATTACTCAGAACCTCAAGGATTTCGTGAGTGCAATGTGTGCCAAATAAAAAGATAAGAAACAAAATAAAAAAAAAAAATTGATTTTGTGATGTCAAAAGTAAAATTTCGACATAAAGGCAGTTAGATCCCAGGAAAAGATCACTTCAATAATCATCAAGAGAGATAATCAACAGCTTGTGTGGTATCCCGTTAAGTACAATCAAATACTTGTTAAGAAGTATTGAAGGAAATATTTTTATAAGGATTCATGGGTGGTTGAAAATTTCGTTACATGTCACAACAAAATATAAGTGTGAGAAATTGTAAGCGAAATTACTTGTTTGACCAGTGTAGTCAGTGACAAGTATGCTTTGGAAAAATTTATCAAGTAACAAGGAATTAGAAAGATACTCACACTGAAATCATATTCCACAAATCAAAATTATTCTTGAATCTTGTTGGGTAAAAATGTCATGGGTTTCGAACATTTTAGCAAGACCACACAAAGAGAAAGTATATGATTTGGAGTATCAAAAATAGGTATAGAAATAAATGTTTCGTTAAATTTTGGAACAAAGTTCCCTGTCAAATCCTTAAAGGTTTCGAAATTTTGGGTTTCACTTTCATCATGGTTTCATGAATCTAGATCATTAACACAAAATATTTACATACCTATAACCTGGTTGGTTTATACCAGATACATCTTGGGTATATGTCGTTGTGTGTGATCGTGAAAGAACTTTGAGAGGAAAAAGATTGGTTTAAGAATCAAATGTACCTATGCTATATATGGACCAATCAGTTAACACTTAACTCAGATGAGAAGAGTAAGGTAACTCAGGAATGAATGTGAATACAGCCTGATTGGGAAGAAATCGTCAGGATGAGAAAACCATTAACGTTTCAAAACACATTGTATTATGGACGCTTGGGTCGGCATGCTGCAACATGCTTCTAGGGACATCTTAACTTGTACAAACTTTCGAATGTATACCTTTCCCTAAAGCAACAAGTAGGAGGCATGGAAAATCTTCGATAAAAGCTACAAAACACCAAAATTAATCAAACAAATTTTTTTTTGGATTTTTTGATTTTTGAATGAAAAATTACAAAGATAAGAAAATCTTTTTGATATTTTTGAATTTTGAAAAATAAAGACAAAAATGAAAAATCTTTTTGTTGTTTTTGATTTGTAAAGAAAAATAAAAGACATAACAAGAAATGTATCTAATTGCGAAATTAAGAAATTATCAAAAGTAGTGAATAATTGTTTCAAACCAATGTGCATGATGTTGAAACGTTGACCGGGAACAGTAACCGCTGAATTATGAATAGTAACCGTTGAATCGACATTTTTATTCCTCTTGTCATTCCATCGAAATTAGTCTTGGAACTGAATTTGCATCGATCATTCCTAACCCATTCAATATTCATATGAAAGATTTTTCATCTAATGGCTTTGTAAAGATATCAGCAAGTTGATCCGGTCTCTTTACAAAATGAACTTCAACATTGTCCTCTTTAACGTGATCTTTGATAAAATGATAACGAAGAGTAATATGTTTTGTTTTCGAATGTTGCGCATGATTATGACAAATGTGAATGGGACTTTGTGAATACCAATACAATGGAATTTTCTTAATGTTGACTGCATAATCACACAGTTGACTTTGAATCCATATGATTTGAGAAGTACAAGCTGCAGCAACAACATATTTTTCTTTTGCTGTAGAAATCAAAACACAAGTTTGTTTTTTCGATTGCCAGCTCACAAGCTTCTCATCAAATAGTTGACATCCTCCACTTGTGCTTTTTCAATCAAGTTGACACCCACCAAGATCACCATCTGAGAATGCTTGAATGAAAAACCCGGTTTTTGAAGGATACCACAATCCTAATGAAACAGTGCCTTTGAGATAGTGAAAAATATTCTTAACAGTAAGATGAGGTTCTCTAGGATTCAATTGGTACCTAGCACAATTGCACACAGAAAACATAATATCAGGTCAACTAGCCATAAGGTATAGTAACGAACCTATCATGCTTCGATACAATGTGAGATCAACAACTTGTTTGTCCAAAGAAGGACTTACTCTTGTTCCAACTGCCAGTGGTACTCACAATTTCAAACTATTCATCATGATTGATAGGAATAAATCCTTAATGATCAAATATATTAAAACATGTAAATAGAACACGATATGATCAAACTGGTGTTGAATGATTCATAGTCACGCGTCAGAACAACTCGATGAAGAATTACTTCTGTAGAGGTGTAAAGTAGGGCTACAAAGATAATTATCAGAGTTAACTTAAATACGTAGCATGAATGCACCTTATATACTATAACCCAACTCATTTATACAAAATGGACTAGACAAATAGGCCCAATGACGCAACACTAAATCTTTAACAATCTCCCCATTTGCGTCAATTAAGACCATAGCCATTAAGTTCTTGATTCGCTTCTACACTTCGTACACCTTGGGAATGAAGCTCAACAGAAGCTTGCGAACTTGAATATAACAAGTGATCACATCAGTGATACACTTCACATCATCCTTGTTGTTGCCCTTAAATCTTGCAACCAGCTCCAAAATAAACTCCAAACAGGAGGTAGTAAATAAGTGTTTGTCTTCGAGTTGGAAAAATAACTTGCAACGATCTGCTCCTGGACGATCTCTAGACGTATACACCACAAACCATCCTTCCTTGAAAATTTTTCCTGGATTGAGCTTCTCAAAGTCTTTCGGAGCTTCCTTCGGAACACCGCTTGGTTTTTGCCTCAAAACAGTGGCAAAATCTCCACATCCATCATTCCAACTTCTTGAATATAAGACTTGATCAAAAATTGAAGATGGTACACCAAAGGTTCATACTTTTCCTTGTTTCTCAGAAGAATGATGTATATCATCATCCAGTCATGGGGGTTCAAACAAGGCAGGTATGCGAGAGTGAATTCGCTGGCTTGAGATGCTGATCCTCTCACAACTTTAAACTTCGCATTAAGGAAGCTTTCGGTCTCAATCGTTCCAGTAACTTTCACATCAATAATCTTGCTCGCACTCCAAGTCTCGTACTGAGGCTTCATGTGCTTCAAGTAGAAGGCAAACAACATTTGATCCGCAGTGCGGTTTGTGAAAGGTACATTAGCAACCTTTACAAAGGCACGAAACCTAAACTCCTTTGGTGTAATAGGCAGGTCCAGTTGCGAATCCTGTGTATTTTGGATTTCAAAAGAGGCAATTGGATCCAACCAATACTGACTTGGCATAACCACAACTTGGTTTTGCATGTGCTTAAGGGTCCACTTAGGAAATAACAACATTTTGCTTTTAAGAGTGGTCTGATCTTCCTTCTCAGCTCTTTCTTTTTCTTCTACCTCTCTAACAATGCGAGCATGTTCATCAATCTCTATCTTGCGAGCCTTCCGCCTTTTAAGCTCAGCTTCATCAGGCGCTTTGTCTCAACTATCATCAATAATAGGTTCTTCACTGAATAGCTTTTCTTTCTTCTTTGGTTCTTGCTTGATGACATGAGGTTTAACTGGAGCTTTGGGAAGGGGGGGGGGGTTCATTCGTTTAAACTTTGGAGCTACCATCTCCCCCTTGTTTTGGAAAAGACATCAGCTTTGAAACACCCTCCAAATGGTGTAATGTAGCAAACACCGATCTTATCCTTTCAGAAAAATGCTTCTTTACTGTTATGGAGATCGTTGGATAACGAGTCTCAATGATATCAGAGAGCAGTCCAGTGACATCAGAGATGCAGCTACGTGTGACTTCCTTCTCTGCTAGCAAATTGTCAACCTGCTTTTGATTAGAAAGAAGCTTGGTTTCCAACACATTACACTTTTCCTCCTTGATGGCGAGATCATGCATGATCTTATTTCCGTTGCCAAATCCTCCTGAAGTTTGTGATTTTCACATTGATAGAAGACTGGAATGCTTCGTGATCAAACTGAAGCGCCTTGAGAAGCTCAACAAAGTTCACCTTTTCCATTTGGAACAAGGTGCCAACATTCTTAATAGACTTGTTCACAAGCACTGTGTTGGCGTTGTATGTGCTCTTGTGATCCTCCATAAATGAAAATTTGTCAGCAATTAGTTTATCGACTTTTTCAGTCGTTGCCTTGCAGGCATCAATAGAGTAAGAAACGACCCTGGACAAAGTAGAGACATTGGCAGAATGTTCCTTCATAACTCGCTCAAGGATTTATTCAACAACAACTTTGGATTAAGCCTCAGAGGTGGAGACTTGGGATGCGAGAAGCAGCTGATCAATATTCTCATGAAGAGATTTGAGTTCCCCTTTCGTAGTAGAGCCTTCATCTTCACTATCAATCCTTATTTGAAAAGGACTATAAGAGAATCCGTCCAAATCATCATCTTCATCATCTCCGAAAATCATTTTAGAGTTATTAGTGCGAATGAGAGAGATGGGTGGTGTAACATGGCTTGAAAAACTTGAAGTGTTAGCCCCCGTATCAGATACATGGACTGAGCTTGTAGTGTAGCAGAGGTGTGATGCGAAATGGTGGATTTAGTGAAAATAAGAATTGTGACTGGAATAGTTATGGATGGTTGAGATGATACTAGTGGTGGCATGGGTGCCATGGTGATTGGGATAGAGGCAGTTGTTTTTGGTGAGGACGGTTGAGAAGGAATAAAATCATTAAGAGGTGGAATTACCTCACGATTTGGAGATGAAGCCTCAGTGAGAACATGTGGTTCGTTGCGAACTTGTTCAACCTCCTCAATGCGAATAGATTCATGTTCTTCAGTGCGAACTGGATCATCTTCTTCATTACGAACTGGTAGATCCTCCTCAATGTGAATGTCCGATTCAGTTTTGGAGTCAGAATTTTCTCCGTCACTCTTAGATAGAGTAGGAGTGGGAGACTTTCGCTTTCCAGCAGGTTTCTTCCTTCACTTTGGTGAAGAAATGGAAGCAATAGGAGCCTTTCGCTTCTTTGAAGGAGGTTTCGCAGCCTCAGAAGGTCCTTTTTTCACTGTGTCTTTCTTTGTTGCTTTCTTTGACCCTCTTCCCCCTTTCTTGGCTTTATTTGCCTCAGCCAAAATTGCTTGAAATTCGCCAGACAATGGATGGGGTCCTGAAGGAGTAAAAGTACGATAACCCTCTAGAATTTTACTTAAGGGAGGAACATCACGAAAGATAACCTCCAGAATTGAGCCAATGAAGGAAAACTTTGACCTATCCACCATAATGATACCAGTGGTATGGAGTGTTGCAATAGAAGCCATCAGTGCATCAGACATCACTGGAATCTTGAGCTGCTTAATTGCCCTGTTGACGAAGATGGTCTAAAACCTCGCACAAGAGATCTCATTATGATGAGTAACAGAGTTAGTACACTGGATCGGTTGAGCCCAAAGTATAGATCCATACTCAACATTTTGACCAGCATACAGGCCATACATTAGACCCATGAAAAGCTTGCTTGCACAGTCATTACCAGTGACCCTTTTAGAAAATGCTTTGAAAAAGATAGTGAATAGGGCATTCCATGTAGGTGGAAGATTGGGTTTCTTGAACTTGGAAACAACAGTGAGAGTTTTCGTGTACCCCATTTGATAAAACATTTCCAAGATAGCAGCATTAGAGATGGTTTCTGGGTTGACCATGTTTTCAAACTGAGGAAACCCTAACAGACTGCAGAAGCGGGTTTTGGAAATCAAGGTTGTATGGTTATGGATGTCGAAGTAAATCCTCTGTTCTTCCTTGACATAGTTGGCAGTTGTGTATGCTTTGGAGAGAACCGACAGTGGAACATTCTCAACTTAAGACAAAGCAATGATGAGAGGAGAGTATTTCAGGCACTCAATCAGAGGTAAAAGAAAGAGATCATATCGAACTGGATCAAGGTCGATGATGAGGTTTTGATGTTGCTTAACAGTCAGAAGAGATGAATGAGCAGTGTGGTCTTGAACAAAAAGATTCTCAGATGAATCCGCCATTGATGAAGCTTGAAGAAGAAGACAAATAGTGAAGAGCTTTGTGATCTCTAGAAATTGTTTAGAGAGTTTGAAAGTGGTAAAGAGATATGGAACCGTCAAAACCTTATATACAATTTGATTTGGTGAGGAAAAACCGGAGAGAGAGAAAGAGAGAGAGAGAGAGAGAGAGAGAGAGAGAGAGAGAGAGAATATCTTGAAAACTGAACGGTCATCTAAAAAAGCACGATTTGACAGTTATGATAAGTCAGAACCTTACGTCATGCAGCGTATCTGTCCGTTCAACTTTGCACGTGCCTGTTTGAATTCTTATCTTTTAAAACTTTCCGCATCACCTCATCTCCTTTCATAGTGAAGAAAGTACTTTGAATGCAACTGTGAGCCTGAACGTTATTTGTAACCACGAACTAGACTTTTGGAAAATCACTAAGATCTTCGTGCAAGAGTGTCAAAGAAAAAGAAATAAAATGAAGTTTATCTGTGGGATGTTGTGATGTCGAACTAGAGACATAAATTTATGGATCCCAGGGAAAGATCTCTTCCTTCAAAGTCAAGAGATACTAAAAAGTATATGTGTGGTTTCCTGTTGAATACGATCAAATGTTTGATGAAAAAAACTGAAAGGCATCTTTTAATAAGGCTTATAAAGGTGGTTCATCTTTCATCCAAACTACGAACTTGACATAAGTGCGAAAGTTGGAAAAAGTAATCGTATGACAAGTGTAGTCAATTGAACGAGTAGGTTTGGAATGTATTCGAGTGACTTGGAGAAAAGAAAAAATAAATAAACTTGATCCATTTAGAAGAAATGTCTTGGGACGAGAACACTTCATTAGGATCTCTCAAAAGAAAAGAGATTTCTTGATACTGACCACGAACATGGACTTTCATTAATTATGGGTGAAAATACTAGAACATTTGATTGTTCACTGTAAATTTATATAATGTATTGAATTTTGGGTTTCATTCAATTCGTGGTAGAACGTAACTAAGATCATTAACACAGAAGTTTATGTAACCATAAACCTCAGTGGTAATTACTGATAGTCTCAAGGGTTACATGTATGGATGCGAAAGTGATGGAAAAGTGAGTAGATGGATACAAAAAGGTGAAAGTGCCTCTGCAATGCGAAAGTGACCTTGCTGAAAACTCTTAACTCAATGTGAGAATAGTAAGGTAGCTCATGACTAATGTGAATTCGCAGCATGATTTGGAAGAATTTATTGATGGTATCAATTCGTTAAGGCTTCACAGTTGAGTTGTTGAGGCTTAGGTCAACATGCGCCAACATGCTTCTAGGGACACTTAGCTAATACATATATAATGAGATTTATACCTACCCCATCACACGAGTTGAAGAATTTTGCGAACATCTTCGTCTATGATCTTGGTGTGAACCTATAATTTTTGGAATTTTTGATATTTTATAAAAAGAAAAGAAATAAAAATAGACACAAATGAAAAATATTTTTGTAATTTTGATTTTTCTTTAAAAAAAACAAATAAATAATTTTTGGTTTTTTTTGAAGATTTTCTGAAAATGAAATAAAATAAAAAAATTAAATTTAAAAACAATAAAAAAAATAAAAAAATAAATAAAATATCAAATTGAAAATAAAGATAAGCAAAGATATACAAAATGTACAAAAGGATATATAAAATACCAAACCACGAGTGAATAGTGCTCTACGAACTACTACGAACATTGGCATTCATTCGCATCCATAAAATAAATTGTGAATGAACAGTTGATTGCGAAAGCCTACGAACGTTCGCACCGATTCGCAGTGAAGATTTTATGAATGCGAAAGTGGTTTTGGTACAGAATCAGCTTCCATCATTCCTAGCCCTTGAAGGATCCTATTAAATGTTGCTTCAGGTAGGGCCTTGGTAAATATGTCAGCCAATTGATCAGCAGATCTTACGAAATGAATCTTGACATTGCCATCTTCCACATAATCCTTGATAAAGTGATACCTTTGTGCTATGTGTTTCATCTTTGATTGTTGCACTGGGTTGTGACAAATGCGAATGGCACTTTTAGAATCACAATAGAGAGGAATTATTTTCATACTTAAGCAATAATCGTGAAGTTAGCATTGAATCTAAATAACTTGAGATGTGCACGAAGCTGCAGCTATGTATTCAGCCTCAACTGTTGACAACAAAACACATGTTTGTTTCTTTGATTGCTAACTCACCATCTTGCCATCAAGAAATTGAAATCCACTAGTTGTGCTTTTTCTATCTAAACCACAACCGCCTAGGTCAGCATCTGAAAATGCTTTTACAAAAAACCATGAGTTTGGAGGATAGCAAATTCCAAGAGATGACGTTCGTTTTAGATACCAGAAGATATTATTGACAGCCACCATATGAGGTTTGTGAGGGTTAGCTTGGAACCTAGCACAATAACAAACTGAAAACATAATATCTGGTCTGCTAGATGTTAGATACATGAGTGAACTTATCATCTGACGACAAAGGGTCATATCAGCAACAGGTTTATCCAGCGAAGGAGTTGGTTTCATTTCGAATGCCATTGGAACCTTCATCTTTGAGTCTCCCAAAATTCCAAACTTAGCAAGTAGGGTGTTCCTGTAAGCCTCTTGATTAATGAAAATTCATTCCAGTCCCTGTCTACTATTTAATCCAAGAAAAAAGTTAATTGGACCCATAGAGCTCATTTCAAACTTAGTTTCCATCAGTTTTCGGAAATCAGGTGTTAAGTTGGCATTAGTAGATTAGAAGATGATGTCATTAACATAATTTTTTAGGATCATCAAGTGGTCACCCTCTTTCCTGCGAAAGAAGGTTGGGTCAACCGAACCTTGCTTAAATTTGGACATTTTAAGAAAACGAGTTAGTGTTTCATACCAGGCTCTTTGAGCTTGTTTTAAACCGTAAACTGCTTTGTCAAGAATATGATAGTGGTTGGGATATTTTTAATTTACAGATCCAGGTGGTTGTTCGACATAAACGATCTCTTCCAGTTTGCCATTTAAGAATGCACATTTCACATCCATTTAGAAAACTTCAAAATTTTTGTGTGTTGCATATAATAAGAAGATGCGAACGGATTCCAACCTTGCAACGGGTGTGAAGGTCTCTTCGTAGTCAATACCTTCTTCCTAAAAATAACCTTTGACCACAAGCCTAGCTTTGTTTTTTTATCACGTTCCCTTCTTTATCCATTTTATTCTGAAACACCTATTTTAACCCAACAACCGATGCTTTTGGGGGAGTTAGAATCAATCTCCAAACTTTGTTTCATTTGAATTTGTTGAGTTCATCTTGCATTACTTGCAACCAGTCAGAATGATCGAGAGCAGTATCGACAGTTTTGGGATCAATCTTGGATACGAACGAATTAAACATACAAAATTCAACTTTGGAGAATAATGCAGTTTGCTTCACTTTTAATTGAGAATGGGTAAGGACACCTACAAAGATTCTCAGATAACTTGGGCTTTTGGGTAATCTCTTGTCCATTTGTTCATAGGAGAATAATTTGGATCTAAGGATGGATTTAGCTCAACATTTACTTCCTCGAATTTAGATTGAATAGATTGAGCGTCCGAGTTATCATTCACTTATTTATTCTCCCCCTTGAATGATTCAAACTCGTTGACCTCAGGACTAGAATCATTTCCTTCGAATGGAGGTTTGGTAAAAATGGTGTGCGAGTCTCGACGGTCATTTGTGGTTAAAGGTGTGCTAGAATTCTCCCCTTGGAAAGTGGTGTGCGAGTCTCGACGGTCATTTGTAGTGGATGCCTGTTGAGGCATGTCTTTCGTAGCATCATCGATAATCTTCTTAAGTTCATCGAATTTACTATCCGCTACCTTAGCTTCAAATATGATAGCTTTCTCAGGTTCATAAAAGATTAATATGAATTCTTCGTAAAGGTTGGACATAGGAATAACGGCTGGACAAGGTTTAGGAAAGATTTCCTTGATTTGACTTTCGTTCGACTGAATTCGCTTTAGATAATTGTCGTCAAACGAGACATAGTAGGTTTCTTCTATCTTCTTTGAGCATTTATTGGGAACCCTATATGCCTTGGATGTTAGCGAATATCCTAAGAATATATCTTCGTCACCTTTCACATCGAACTTGTTCCTTTGTTCTTTGGAGTTGAAGATGAAACACCTGGAACCAAAAACGTGGAAAAACTTAATGTTAGGTTTTCGATTATTTATGATTTCATAAGGATCTATTGAGAATCGCTTATTTAGGAAGGATCGATTTTGGGTGAAGCAAGCGGTAGCTATCGCATCAGCCCAGAAGTAGAGTGGTAGACATGCAAACGTTAGCATGGTTCGTGCAGCTTCACATAAGGAACGCTTTTGTCTTTCAACTACATCATTCTGTTGTGGAGTGTAGGGAACATAGAGGTTGTGTGTGACTCCCTTTTTCAGCAATAAATTCCTCAAACGCTTGGTTTTTGAATTTTATCCCATTG